TGCTCACTCCGGTGAACTTCTCGGTGTTGTCAACTTCAGGTCCGATGCCGCCGTGAGTGTTTTATTTTTTTCTGGTCAGCTACAGCGATCTCATTTTATGGCAGTACCACGTCCTTCCTATTCAGCACCAGTCTCCCGATCAAGGAGAGTTTGAGCTGCTCACTGATCCACAAGATCTTGAGGCCTCGCCTTGGGGCTGGCACAGTGTCAACGGAGGACCATCCTCCGGCCGCACAACGTGAGTCGCCTTTCTCTGCAGCCTTTCTGAGCTCGCCTTTACACGTATCTTCTTATAGTGGTAACAACATCCACGCGTACGTTGACGCCGATCGCTTCGCCACCGTGGAGGAGTCCGCTAGCGGTGACGTCTACGACTACGACCTGTACACCAACACCACTGAGCCGGCCGACTACCTCAACACCTCCGCTACAAACGCCTTCTACCTTACCAACACGATCCACGATATTGCCTACAGATACGGCTTCACTGCGTACAACTTCCAGAAGAGCAACGCCGATGGTTCCATCGGTAAGGCAAATGACGAAGTTGTTGTGTCCGTGCACAACTCGAGTGGATTCAACAACGCCTATATGTACACCCCTGCCGATGGCCAGCAAGGAGAAATTGCCATGTTCCTGTGGGACAACGCCACGGTATATTATTCCAGTGTAAACTGGCTTTAACATTCTTCTCACCTTGTTTGCAACTGATCAGCCTACCCGTGATGGCTCTCTCTCCAACGATATCCTGGTCCACGAATATACCCACGGTATCACCAATCGTATGACCGGTGGAGGCACTGGTCGCTGCTTGCAGATTGTTGAGGCAGGAGGAATGGGTGAAGGCTGGAGCGACGCCCTTGCGATGTGAGTGTTGCTTTCCCACAATAGCGTGTGATGGCTAATCTCTCTGCAGCTGGACCGAGCACCAAGACGCTTCCACTCCCGACGTGGGTATGGGTGTGTGGGCCACGAACAACCCCCTCGGTATCCGTCAATTCTTGTACTCCACCGATAAGTGCGACTCCTCTCCGTCTATCGTCTATCAAATCACACTGCTGATCACCTCTCGATATGTAGGGCCGTCAACCCCTGGACATACCATTCTCTCCTCGACTCACGGATGACCGGCGTACACAGCATCGGCGAAGTATGGTCCAACATGCTCTACAACGTCTACGCTGCCCTTGTCGAGGAGCACGGTTGGTCTGCCACCGCCAAGACCGACCCCTCTGGCTTGGAAGGCAATGTTGTCTGGCTCCACCTGTTCCTCGATGCCTTGAAGCTGCAGCCTTGCCAGGCCGAGTGTACGTCCATTCGTTTCATGAGATCCTTCGACATACAAAGCTGACTTCATCGGTTTCTATGTTTAGTTGTCACCGGCCGCGCTGCCTGGATCCAAGCCGACCAGAACAGGTACAACGGCTCGCACAAGTGCCTCCTCTGGAAGGCGTTTGCCAGCCGTGGTCTCGGGCCTCTCGCTGACGATAACTACGTCGACGATTTCTCGGTGCCCGCTGGCTGCGAGTAAACAAATCGCGCGCTGTGAGCCAAGGGGCCTGCTTGATGTTTTGTTATCTGCTGCTGTGCATCTCGTAGTAACTAGTTATTCTTCAATCAATGGAAGTGGATGGAATTCTTCATATAAGATTGCGTATGGTTGCTGCTATTACAAGTACCCCGCCGTAGCTGGCGGCGAGTTTAGGGGCGAGAGACAAGGAATCCGGTGTCTATGCTGTCGACAGAAGATCGATTAAGTATTGCGAACACTCCGCTGTTCTTAAGGCACTAAGGGGAGGGTCGTAGAGCCTTCACACGTGGTGCATACCCTAGTGAGCGCACAAAAACTGTAGTTCCAATTTGTAGAGCATGACCATCGATTGAGCGAAGCATGTACCGTGGTCGAGGACGGTGGCACGTTTTGAGACGCGTGCCATCATACTCTATTTCTCTCCTTACCACCACCACCACCTTCCACCACCTTTGGCCAATGACATCCCATTTCACCTAGACTATATGGGCACATAATCTAAAGATACACCCTGAAAGACCCATGCTCCGCACAAAGGAAAGCTTCAGAACTTCTCTGTATACATTTCGATGTATAACACCTGGGTAAGGCACGCATCCAGAGCACTCAACCCGGCTACTGCGCATGCATACCGTACAAACTGGACGCCAGCACGAGCCACCAGTTTACATCTTAGCTCACAGCTTGTCTCGTTGTCGATCTTCTGCATGTCGAATCTATCTTTAAGTGGCTATCAGCGAAGCATGGTGCGCTGATGGTGAGTAAACACTTGCAACTTGTATCTACGCGTACTCACGCTTGCCGGAATGAAGTAGCATCCAGGTCTAATACTGCGCTGATGCCGCAGTACAATCCAGTTCTGAGCACCTGAAGCACTCCTTCTTGGTTTCTTCGGGTGTTCCGCCCTCGGGGACTCGACTCCTCATCGGTAATTTCCCTAGATCACGGAAGTCACTGAAGAGCACTGAAGAGCACTGATAGCCTTCAGCACTTCCGTAAAATGGCCTCTGACCAGCCCAAATAACGCTCGTCTAGCTGGGAACCCGATTGTGCCAGTGAGATGCCCGGGAATAGGGCGTAAATACATTCTCAGATAGACACTGGTGTTTCCTCAATCAAGGACCGTGGACGGATCACTCCCTATAAGCTTGGGTGTATTTGATGTCACAGAGACCCCGCCGTTGCTAGCGACGAGGAGCGAGAAAAGGCCAGGTGTGATCGAATCGATTCAGAACTGCCAATGTTGTGTGGTCTCTTCCGAGACGCGATTTGGTAAGTGGCACAGCGTCGCTGTAGATTGGAGTAAAACGTGTGGGGAAGTACAGTATGTAGACTGAGATAGAGAACAACGGTGTTTGAGTCTCACCTCCCGGAGAGATGGGTTAGCTTAAGCACGTTACACCTGCCGAACCAGAACACACGTACCTCATCTAGCCACATTGAAGAGAAACTACTCGTATGCCTAGTTGGCGTTGTACGATGCGCATCTTGGTATAGTAGTCGTCGGATAGTACCTGTGACTCGGGGGCTTCTGGCGACCCGTCGCTAGTTTCAGCGTGGCATTGTGCGTATAGTATGCGGGGAGGTAGCTCCATTCGTTCGTGTGGTAGGATGTGGTAGCGCATAAGTGCGCTTTGAGCCTTGGTATCGCAGTAGTGGTATCATCGCCTAGCATGTGTCCTTCATCCGCGTGACTTTATGTCAGCAAGGACTCAGAGAGAAAGGCCGACGTCGACAGCGACTCGCCTATCTCGTGGAACCGGGCATAGGTCCAACAGCGTCTTAGCGTGCGGTCATGTGAGATGTCCGAATGCATGCACGACCGCCTCGAACGTTGCGAATGTGACAACATTCGCCGGTATTGCTCTAGAAGACAGAGGACGGTCAGAGGGGTTCATTAGAGCAGGATATGATGCAGATGCATCCCTACATACCGAAGCAACGTAGGTCCCAACCCCCGGAAAAACACACCGACACCCTCCGTCCTGTACGAGTTGACGATCGTCGACAATACGCTGCGATACGGGTGCAAGTGTGGTCTTGGCATGAGCACAGTCGACTCTACCGCGTGTACATGCTGGTCCAATAACGGCTGCCTCTCTGCCCATAATGCATGTGAAGGGTCTCCCAATGCATGCGCAAGAGCAGGTCCAAGATGCCTCTGAACAACCGCATCGTTTTCCGCCCTCATCTGCTGGAACTGGTATTCCCTAGCCTGCATCCTCGTCTTGACCACATCCATGGGAAACGTGAAGAGCCAGCCCGCTATGCCAGAAAGGCTGCCCGCGATGATAAGGACGCAGAAGGACAAAGCTCGTCGTCGCGCGAGTTCGGATTGAGTGTCGGCTTCTGGGAGAACGAAGGCGTCGTCTGGGAGACTTGAGAGGGCCGAGAAGAAGCGGGTGACTGCTTCGTACTAAATGTCTTCGTTAAGTGACGGATACTCATGAACAGGGATTATGAAAGAGAGCTTACAGCAAAGAAGTACGCCCCGTATCCGATGTCGCGCAGAGCTGTTGCTGGGAGACCGCGGTAGAGACCTGGAAGACCTGCCTCGTTAAAGATGGCGCGAGCAAGGGAGAGGGAGGAGCCGGTGTGGCATGTCTGTTGTTGGATCTTCAGGAGCTCTGTCGGAGTGGTTACGATCCTGCACCAGAACTCATGCGTTAGGTCTTGGTAGACGTGACGAGCAAAAGCAGGCGTACGATGAAACGATCCCGCTCCCTACACCTGCCAGCCCGACCTGTAGTAGCGTAGGCACTGCATCGGACTGCGAGAGCTGCATCTTCAAGAAGAAATGATACGACGCAAAGACGAGACCGTTCATCAGCGCTACCAAAGCCTAAACATCACACCGTGTGAGAAACCTGGTGCTGAGAAGCGATCCAGAGAGACGTAACCAACCAAAGGCGAGCTGATCCCTCTGAACAGGCCGGCCAGCGTCTCTTCCCTCACGATCTGTACCAGCGTGCATAGCGTCGAGCCAGAGTATCGCTGGGCATTCGCGGGGTCTTGAAAGCGTACCTTCACTGATACCATGTTCAGATAAGACCATTCGGTTGGCGTCGGTAGAGAAAGCAGGGCGAACCAGTGTCGAACGGAAAGCCAACTATCAGGGCGGTCGTTCCTAAACAAAACAAGTGAGCACAATATTGGGCTGCGATACGGTGTCGAACGTACCAGCTATGGTTCCAGCGATGAAATCAACCGTGGGGTTCAACTGGGCTATCGTCGTCGGGTAATCTCAGCTACCGCTAGAATGCGCCAGCGTCCACCTGGAGATCCAACGTACCTGCACTGACCATAGCTTAGAGATCCGAGAAGGCGGTGCAAAGAAAGAGAAGGAAACGCAAACTGTGGAAGGAGGAGGAGAAGCTACAGGAGGTCTAGCTCAGAACCCAAGTTACCTCCGTATTTCCGAGTTTCTATGCGTTCCATCGTGCGCGAAGCTTATTGTGGGGAGCAAAAATGCCACGTGCCTGAGTTGAACAAGCGACCTTCGCATGTGCAGAGTACAAGTGCGACGCAATAACCACTATGCTAACGCGGCTGTGCCAACAGTTTGTAAGCAAGTAATAGAACCGCTAAAAATCCATATGGTACGGTGTTTTCTGTGTCTGCACCGTAGAAGAAAGAGATTGAGCCGCTTTCAGCATCCCTAGTGCTTAATTATTTTTCTCTCTCTCCAAAGCTGAGTACCTTGAGTCGATGGATGAGCTAGCCTATCAGCTCAGGACGAGCTCGAACTTCGAAGGAAGCCGCGGTCACGCCAAATGGACATGACGAAACTGGAAACGTTTATTGTCCATGTCGCGTCGTCTTTAGCTACTTACCGGCCAGGAGATTCTGAGAGTAATAGCTGGAAGTTTCTAACTTTGAGATAAACAGGACTGGTGAGGTAAACAGTACCCATCCTTTCCAAATCAAAACAGTATTGTTCGCCCAGTTCAGGGCATCGGCAAAGCTCTGGCCTGTCAGTCATGTTCAAGCCTCCACCGCGGCCGGTAATGCCATAGTAATTATAACCCGGTCACTCTGAGCACCGTCTCACGTGCTTTCACCCGTATCAGTGCCTAGCTATTCCTGTTTGTTCCCCTGGCGTTTGGTAGGAGGTGTCCCGTTGTCAACGGAAGCGCATCACAGAATTGTCCCGATCCACCGCCGGGCGTTTCTTCTCGGACTAAAGCCGCCAACTCGGTTTGGAGTCTATCAACTGCAGAATCCCGGTAAGATTCTAGGCTTGAGCTTCTCCGTGTCTGTTCAGCGTTTGTGGCGGACCGAACTCAGCGGAATGCGCTGACATGGGCCGGCCGCCTCAAGGGGTGACATGTCTACAGTAGTTGTCAATGTTTTCAAATTTCGACAGAGGTCTGGCCATGCCTCTAGCTTATCGCAGCGCTCGGGCGCACAGTAGTGTCATTGTCTGAACGAGTTTATCTACTCAGCTGCGCTTGCGTGAGCCGCCGTGTCACTGGCCTCGTCGTTCACTTATTCGGATGGGGTCTCTCCCGGACACGGACGTCGCGGCGCCAGCCACCAGCAGAGCACTTATCTTCTCAGCTGTGCTTGCTTGCATGGGTCGCCGTATCCTGATCCCCGTCGTTAACTTCAATGAGGGGGTCTCTCTCGGAAGTCGCGGCGCCTGCTACAATTAGAGCAGTCGATCGTGACTGCGGTCGATTAAACCCTCGCGCTCGTTAGAATCAGTGAAGTGAAACCCTTTGGACGCAGTTATCATGGCTGTACCTCAATATCCAGTGCCTCCATGGCCATCGATATCCCAAGTCAGCCGCCTTGTGTCATCGGTGTGGCTGAAATTCGGCCACATCGATTCCGGACACATATCGCTTGCAATGATATCTAGAGCTTGCTATCCTTACCCTCCGGCAGCTTCGTATCGCTTCAAATTTGCCGCTTGGGCTTATCAGGACTGTTCCTCTGTGGTACAAAGAGTAGCAACGCCTAGACATGAACTAGAATTACTACCATCTCTTACTTTAGATGATTGAGCACGGCTTGATCAGCATCTTTGACCTTTCCAGAGCTTCAGTAGACCTTCAGTAAGTCAATCGCAGCCTCACAAGCTGCGGGTGTGAATCTGGACTCTGAGAACTTACCTGTGTTCGCTCGGCCCGGGCCTTATTGTGGTGATGACACTGATACATTCTCGAATTGGCGTCGAGGTCAAGGTGCGGGATTTTTTGAACATTGGTCAAGAGCTCTCAAAGCTCTTTCCGATGGTGTCCATCGTTTCTATGAGATTTTATTTTCCCATCTCGCGCACCTGGCCTGAGTTCGATGGGTCGGGATAGACTTGGCATCGACGCTAACGGAGTACGATCATGCGTCATGCTTGTCAGCAATGCACCCTTTGCACCGTGCACCAACCGTGCACAGAGTTTCTCCGAAGTTGATAACACTTTTACAACGCTATTGCTCCGTGTCGCTTCTGGGCAACATGGATGTGGATCTCAGAACTTCCTGCGCTCGAGGCGGTAATGATGTCATGCAGATTGCGTCTGCGTCAACTTCTACTTTGAGGGATTCAAAGTCAAGAGATAGCGCAATCCGGCTACAATCTTGACGCGACTGTAAATGTACGTGAAGCACAGTTTTTGTTCATCTGCGCTCGGCCAGAACGCGTCAAACTGTGCTGACGGTTTCGCTTTGCCAGTGCATCCCTCCGTTGATGGCGCAGTCGGCCTTCCCGTACTTGCTGTTGGACGCAACCCGCGTCTAAAGTGAACGTGAATGTCGATGATGCGTCCCATCCTATCGTCACCAATACCGCTCGCCGCCGAGTGGCTATGTGTGCAAAGAACCTGCTTCTGGAACTCAGCTCATTCATCGCTGCGGGTCTGTACACCGGAAGAAGCATGTACACTGCCAATCGTCTCTCAACCTGGTGGCGTTTGTTCACGATCGATGAACGCCGGTGAACAAGACGCTTTGGTTGCTAAGATTATCTGGACGCCCTTGCCCAAGACAAGAAGGTCGAGAACATGATATGGGCCATTTTTCCTACCAGAATGCCGAGTTTGGAAGGCGTGCCGATCAGCTCGGGGGTCTCGGTTCCCCAGCTGTGTTTCCGCACGCTTCTAACGCCTACCTCCCTTACCATTCCTGGGGCCCCAGTGGTTCCTTTCCAAAATTGGCAAGCTCGGTCTTTCTGTCAGAAAATTGGTGGTTCATCGGTCTGAGGTCGGTGCTTCGAACATCGTCATATGCCTCCAGAGTCTCACGCTTCGCCTTTGACAGTACTCCGTAAGCAAGCGCGGGAACTATGACAGCGTTTCGAGGCGACTGGTGGTGGTGTATTGTGCTTTTGATTACCAGACTCTTGGATACCCTGACCCTCCAATTAGAAACGCCGCCGCGTCCGACTGCGTGGGCTTTCTCGGAACAAGAACGTCTGGTCAAAAGCCCGGCAAACATCAACTCAAGCGCGCGGATGTTGTTTGCCCAGATAAGCTGCACCATCCGAAGTTTGTTTGACGTAGGATCGTTTAGACGTTGAGCCCTCTTCGCTCGTCGCGTTATCATAGCCAAGAATCGAGCGTTAGATCTCGGTGGCAAGCCAGGTACACGAGTGAAACTCAACGCACCACTGTCCGAACTTTCTCCCGTCACGTCAGAGGTGCGCGCCCAGCTCGGGTTGTTATCGGGCTCGCGACAGGTGCCTCGAGTCAGCTTGTTTTAGGAGGTGAGTTCTATCCGGATGGCTTTCCGACGACTTAGGAATTAACTGCCTCTATTCCAGGTCAATTTTGGTGGATCTGGAACTCGGCTACTATTTCCCGGGGTGACCTTCAAGCATGGCTCGGAACGCTGATGTCAATCCGACGGTTCCGAGGTCACTCAGGCATGCCAAAGTACCCGTGGGCGGTCTGTACGTACACGCTGCGGCGAAGTCTACTTACCATTATACTACGTGCATATAAAGCATGGTCGCCTCGTTAGCTAAACCTTATCCTTGCACTAGTCCTCCTCCCTTCTCCTCATCCAGTGTTCCCCTGGTATGGCTCTCATCCTCGACGCCTCGGTGCAACTCTCAGACGCAGAGAAAGGCTTCATTACGGTGGAGCTCAAGAAGGACGATGTCAACATCAGCGTGCACACCGCTTCCCTTCAGGACCTCCCCTATCGCAAGCCTGTGGACGAGATCACGGAGAAAGCTTTATCCTTGGGGACCGTGAAGCAGAGACCCGTTCGATCTCGTCCAGTGGGACGATGGGTGAAGTTCCTCGTCTGGTTTAACACGTATCGGTACGTTCATACCTACTCGTCGCGCCGTCTGAAGACCACAGCTAACAGTCTTCGTCAATTTTCCAGGAAGTTCTTCATCGTCGCGATGACGTTGAATCTGGTTGGGATATTCTTGACGATCGCGGGTGTATGGGACTACCCTCGGCGCTACACCGGTGCCCTGGTGCTGGGCAACTTGCAAGCAGCAATCCTCGTCCGAAATGAACTCTTCGGACGTTTCCTTTTCCTGTCAGTGAACACACTCTTCGCGAAGGTACGCAATTTCTGTCACACATCCTCTGAATTCGTCACCGACTGTCCGCTCCTCATCTAGTGGACCCCATTATGGTTCCGTCTCGGGTGCACGTCTGCTCTACAACATCTCGGTGGCATTCATTCCGGCTGCGCCATATCTGGCTGCCTCTGGTTGATGTATCGACTCGCCCTGATCTTCATCGACCTCTACAACAACCACAACGCCGTCGTCGTCTTCGGAGTCTTGACCAACGTCACCATCGCCATCTCTATCGGCAGCGCTATCCCCTACGTGCGCAACACCTACCACAAGTACGTCGAACCTTGGCTTCAGTCTTGGTCGCTCGGATGTACTAACGCCTGATGTTTGTCCGAAAGCGTCTTCGAGCGGTGGCATCGTTTCTCCGGCTGGACTGCTTTGGTCTTCAGTAAGTGCGCACACGCGACCCAAAATGGCGCTATGTTAATCTGTCTTGATAGCGTGGATCTTCGTGCTGCTCAGCGACTTTTACGATCTTGAGAGTCATCGATGGATAGCAGGCACGGAGATATTCAGGCAGCAAGACCTGTATTTCATCATCGGGATGTCGTTCTTCACCATTACGCCCTGGGTAACCACACGGAAAGTCAAGGTTCATGTTGAGATCGTGAGTACTCAGTCGTGTGCTTCCTACTCCCGAATTCCGACCAGGCGCTGACTCTCGACCTCTCCTTAGCCCTCGCCCAAGGTCGCTGTTCTCCACTTCGAGCGAGGCATGCAGCAGGGCATGCTCGCGCGGATATCTCGTAGCGCGGTCTGGGAATACCACCTCTTCGGAGTCATCAGCGAAGGCAAGAAGTCCGGGAAGCACTACCTCGTTTGTGGTGTCCAGGGCGATTTCACCAAACAGCTCGTCGAGAATCCCCCGACGCACATCTGGACGCGTGAGGTCAAGGTGCGCACCACTCCCCCTCCACGCGCGCATTCTGGAAGCTGATCCTCGAACTTCCAATCAGGTGGCCGGAGTTTCTAACACCTCGACATTGTATAAACGAGGGATTAGGGTGTGC